ATCGTTTACGGGATCCGGTGCAGTGTAGACACAGCAACGTCGGAGAAAGGGGAAGATTACTCCGGACGCGAATAGCCGAGCACGCAGCAACGGTGAGTAAAAACGCCAGCTTTCAGGTTGCAGCTCACTCGATGGGCCCCGGGCATATTTTCAAGTTTTAGGAGACCGAAATCCTCGCAAGGGGAGACAACTGCGTGAGCCGCGAGCTGCCTGATTCATGGTTACCAGGTCCGCAGTCCATCAAAAAACGCAAGAACACGCTGTTTCCACATTCTACATTGAAACTTTATCTGAGCAAGAGAATCAGTCACGTGGGGAGGGCACGGGCCATCAAAAATGTTGATGACAGCAAGTCAATGTTTACCGCAATTATCACGCCAACGTCCGACACGGGTGATGAAATCGTGGCAATTAACCACTCGGACTACCAAGTCATTACCATATCAACCACAGCCCCCCTTCGGTGACCAAGAAAGCCACTATTAGTAGTGCGAATCAAGGTCGCGCGACCACTTCGGACTATAAATAATGTGAAACTCATGTCTCTATCACCTTTCTCTGCGATTGCTTCTGATGATAGACTCCAGCGAGAATCTGAAGTGTCAGTCAAGTAGACTTCTTGTTCGAACGAAGATTCAGTTAATCGGAAAACCAACAGCGGAGGCTAGGGCTTAATGGGCGGACTATTATCAGGGTTCAAGATAGTATGGCTCGTGCGGATATTTTATCGGCTAATTACAAAATGTTCGGTTACAAAATATAGGACAGCTATTGGGTAAGGTTAGACCGTGTGTCTGACACAGTTTTAACCAGGCATGTATAGAAACTCGTGGGCTTTTGCTGGGCCTGGCTTCCATTAACTGACCAACCAACTACGTCTTCTAGTTTGTTACGTAGCTAAGCAGGCACCCGATAATGCAGATTACTTCTGGGTATATATAATGCAGCTGCCATGCTAATCAGTTATCTGGTGAATTGCACTGAGGCTGAGGAATCACGCTAGTTGTTTCTAAATTAGCAAAGTAAATATTCGTAACCGTTAAGGATATCATATTTATGAATAGAAACAAACCTTTCTTAAAGAGAGTTTCGTGTGCTGGCAAATTGTATCCGATGACATAATGCGTTTTCCATCCACCGAAAAGAGGGAATCTTGGTTGGAGTTCGACTTCCGTTGAGTCAAACAGTTTCTTAACAGTGCTAGTACTGATGTTGCCGATTTCATCTCTGTAGTATATATCACGAGCCGATGCTGGTAAGACGGATTTTAAAGCAGGGACTGAAGCATGGTGCCCAATGCCACGCTGGTAATCTAACCGAGAGAACGCACCGCGAAGCGCGGCACCATAGTGAACGATATCAACAGTGTCTTCGACTGCTACATTGCCCCAGAGCGATACCTCAATTATTCTTTTCAGCGAGGTAACCGCAAGGAAGGGGGATCCATTTTCGTAATTGAATTTGCCTAGAGCCTATTT